GGCTGCAAGTCGCAGAAATAGTGATCAATTACATTGGGACCACAGAATGGCAGACTCAAGGCAAGGAAAATCTGAGTTAAAGAATGCACACAGGACCCAACCCAGGCCATAGCTACCAATCTATTGCAGACCTGGCGGCTCATGATGGCCGTGTAGTGCAGTGGCTTACAGATGGCCACATAGCGGTCAACAGCCATGAGGATAAGAATGAAGATTTCCAGGCAACCAAAGAAATGAAATGTAAATACTTGAATTATGCACTCAATGAATGAAATAGTTGTCTTCTTCAAAAAGGAATCCACAATTGTTTTAGGGGCTATGGAAGTAGAGAAGCAGGTATCAGATAAGGATAAGTAGAAAAGGAAGAAGTACATGGGGCTCCCAAGTGAATGGCTGGTCTTGATGGTGGTGAGAATAAGCAAGTTACCCACCAATGTCCCCAAATAGAAAAGCAAAAAAATTACAAATACTACTTTCTTCCTAACAGGATCCTGTGTCAACCCAAGCAGAATGAACTCGGTCACATTATTATTCAAGTACATGGTTTCACGAATGAGGAAAAGGGGCAAGTGTGAAATGATTCATCTGCAAAAAAGAAAAAATAATAATTTATGATGTGTATGTGATGCTATGGAATATTTTAAACAAAATTAAATAATCCTCACAAAAATATTTATGGTTTATAAAGTCATTTCAATGCTTGCATTCAATTTTAATGACCTTTTCACAAGGTTATTGGTCTCAAACATGCTTATGAATACTTCTCTGCAGCAGTATTAAGTACAAGCCCATGTTAAAACTTGGGCTTGCTTCTGATTAGTGTGTCAATATAATGCATAAAAAGTTGAGAAGTATACATCTATTTAATACATACTTCAATTTTTTATATTGAATAAATATCAGTTCCCATAGCTCTAATGGTGCATCACTCAACATTTAGGATATACATGACTGCCTTGGCATTTTATGGCATAAATATAAGGTCACACACCACTACCATCACATATAGAATGTCTTATTTATACATATTTACATGGCTTACATATCTATTATACATATCTATACAAATATATGTTATTTATAAGATACATAATTTGATTCACTTCTCTGCACATATTCTCTGATTATTCATCTTGAAAGAGGAAAAGGAAACAAATCCTCTAAATAATCTGTACTTCAATGAAATAATTGAAGTACACTTATGCTATTCGATACTTGACATATGTGATGAACAGAAATGGAATGTTCTTTGAAAATGAGCAATATATCAAATACTTCTTATTTTCTCCTGCTTACTTATTAAATGCACTCCTAATAAGTCTCCTAGTCCCTGAGGTTGGATTTAAATGAAATGTGGATGATCAATTATTACCCCATCATTCATGTTTGCATGATCCAAGTTTTTATATTAAGTATTTTTTAACTGAGTGGTTTGAAGGATATCACTAGGCAGGTGCGTTAAGAATACATTATGGTTGCAATCTCAAGAGAATTTCTGTTCCCTAGGCATTTGGAAACCCCAGATTCTTGAACTAGAACTGAAATTCCGAAGAGACTAGTTTTAGAGAAAAGGAATAGTCGTCAATTGAATTCATTTTTTTTTTTTTTGAGAGGTTTTTGCTATAGGGCGCGTGCGCTCATTAGACAGACAGAAACAGACAGAAAGATAGAAAGTGAGAAATCACCCCCCGGGGGGATGGCCACGCCGCAATCCCTTCTCCTCCGTTCTCCTCCTGGGATCTTGGGCAAACATGCACATGTGCCAGGCGTGAGTTTTAAGCCACCAGGTCTGGGTCATGAACCGCGGTCAACTACGTGGGAGTCCAGTGACATAGCCATTACGCTAACTGGTGGTCCCATCAATTTAATTATTCATTCAATTATTTTCTGTCGTGAAAAAGTCGATAATTATTCAGATATGAAATTTCACTTTTTTCAATGACGATTTTTCTTCCACAGTGAATAGAAATTTTATTTTAATTTCATTCTTTTATGCATTTTATACATTTTATACATTTCTTTCTTTTATACATCAGTTAACTTGTAAATTTTCCAACATGAATACATTTCTCACCAGTCCTGTTGGGTATACTATACACATTTTCATCAACAGATAATAATCCACTTGTGTCCCATAAATGTCATGTCTATTTTTTTCCTTGTTATTCATTTCTAAAACAACCTTATTTACTTTAAACATCTGGACATATAGTTATAAAGTAAATATAGAATGTCTCAGTGTCTTGTATAATATAAGTGCTCAGTGTTTATAAAGTGAACATTCTCTCATACTTCTTAACATGTAATAATATTTAGCTTATTATTTTAGTACTATTCTGGTTGAAAAACCATATTCATATCATTCATTAATTTACTGAGGCTATATGTATATTATGTATGGTAGACTGACAAATATCCTCATTTAAAAGCCAAAAACTGATGAGATGATGAATAAGTTAATTATCCTGATTTAATAAGTACACATGTAAGATTGTACTAAAAAATCACATCATACTCAACAATATATATAACTACTGTATGTCAATTTAAAAATGTAAAATCTAAAAAGCAAAAGAAAAAATACTGAGAGCCATTTAAAAAAATTAATGGGTTGGCTCCAAATGGTAAAATAGAGAGCATTGTACCATACACAACACCATCCTGGTATGAAAGATAGTGTGACTCTCACACCCTCAAAATTACTATCTCAAGAATTTGTTGTTGCTGCTATTGTTTCTAACATTAATACTTGGCCTTTAAGAGATACAAAGAGAGCTTCAACATTTTTCTTAGCCTCCTGATACAGATGCATGTTATTGTGCATGCCTATGTGGATGATCATGTGACTATTTTTTTCTTCCAGTTAATATCCTTTATCAGGTTCTTAAAAAATTGGACAGAAAAAATGGATTATAATGGTCTGGGGAACACAACAACATCAGTATTCTAGCATGTTTTCCAGTAACTACTGTACTTACCTCAATTCTTTAAACAAGGTTAGCCAACTTTAGAGTGGCTATGCTCACCAAAACACTAATAGACAGAAAATAAATTGGTGTCTGTGATAATGGAGAATTGCTGAAAGAGAAACAATGAAGAAAAGGTAAATAATGGATGAGAGTGGAATGCAGTGTTAGGTGGTTCCTCCTATGCTTCCAAGTTGTATTGCAGAGTCTGCAGTGAAAGCATCCCTTTACTCAAGGACTCTCTATTAAACTACCCAATACTTCCTAAGTCTTTAGAAATACTAGACTTTTATGTGTATAAAAATCGTCATTCTCATTTATTTCTTTGCATATTTTTTTTTCATTATCTGTAGAAAGAAAAACAGGTTTTCCCAAGCTGCTTTATCCCTCTCAAATGTCCTACTTAAACAGTGATGAAATCCACACCCTCTCATCTCTTCACTCTATGTAACTGTACATGATGATTCCTGCTATTTGGTCAAGGGATAATTATGTTCTTTGAGCTTAAAAGATGGAAGCAATCCATCTTTTAGAAGACTATCTAGGTTAGTGTCATATCTGTCCATGCCTTTTTGGAAGCAGCCCTCCTGTAGACATCTGGAGGGAATACATATTCCTGCTTCCCAGAGGGAATATTTTAATACTAATGATGTAAGATATTGACCTCTAGAGATTATTCTCTGAACTTTTCCTTCTTATGCTTATCAGAAACATTTTAGATGTTGCAATAAATTTAACCTTTGGTTTGTCTACTGAGACTGTGAGAATAGTAAGTTAACCCTTCTCATGTTCTGTTAACAATACATACAAGAGCGGATGTGTTAGGTGCTCAGAACCACCAAGGATACAGAGGTAGGGATAGGGGTGGAGAGAAGAAATCATAATGGACAGTGGAGAGGATGGGATAGAACAAGCACAAATAAAAGTATCATTGGTAAAAAAGAAAGAAGTAGATCACAGAGAAATACTTCTGCTTCACCTATGCTCTAAGTTTCTATTACCTGTGTTAGGAAATAAACTTTTCAAGCTCCTATAATAGATTCAAAGTATATCTGCAAGTACTATCCAGGGAAGGCAGTATGGTGTGTTGAAACTGGTGGTTCTATTCTTTGGGCTCCAGGTAGTCCCCAACAAAGAACCACAGATTTATAGCAAGTGGCCCAAGTCTATATCTATGTATCTATATTTCTCCATTACTGAGCCATTACAAATGTTTGCATCATCATCACTTCCCAGTACATCTTGGTTTTCAAGTTAAGCTAGTGAAAGGAACATGTGTGAAAAGAGGAAAAAGCATACATCAGATAACATATATCTATACTATATCAGTATCTATATCTGTATATAATACATAAATGAATATATAAGGGTACTTTAAAAAGTTAGTGGAAAAGTAGAATTAAAGCACAAGTTTATTTTGGTGCAGAAAATGTATAATGCATGCCTAATTTTTTCCAATTGTGGATTTTTCATGAACTTTATAAAAATATTGAACACTGAATTTCATATTTTTAAGCTCATTTCTTCTTGTTTTACTAACTCAAGTTAGTAAAAGAAAATTATTAAAGGAATACATTTACTAAAATAATTATAAATCAACAAATACTTAATGAATACACTTTATATAAGATTCATGTATATTATTTTATATATAGATTTTTAAATTTATATAACTATTTTATTAGACAAATTCTAATACTAACATATTTTTATAAGAAAAATATCAATTTTGGGAACCAGCAGTTAGCATAATGGCTATGTCGCTGGACTCCCACGTAGTCGACCACGGTTCACATCCCGGACCCAGTGGCTTAAAACTCACGCCGGGCATGTGTGCGTGCCCTACACGTGCCCAAGATCCCAAGAGGAGAATGGAGGAGAAGGGAATGTGGTGTGACCATCCCCCCTGGGGGGTGATTTCTCACTTTCTGTTTCTCTGTCTCTCTCTGTCTATCTGGCGAGCGCATGCGCCCTATAGCGAAAACCTCTCTAAAATATATAAGACCACTAATTTATAAGGCAGTAGATAGACACGAGGTCAGTCTTGGTAGACAATAAATAGTCTTCAAGGAATCCCTTTCATTGATATGACTTATCAGCGTAACTAACAGTAGTGGGGAACACCAGAGGGGACATTGAAAATGGTAGATTTTTCCCCCACAGTGGAGTGTTATACTTTTCATGATGTAGTGTGGAAAATGTTATCATTATGGAAGGCTCATTCAATATTTGGTGGGTGTTGGCTGTTTCTCTACACAATTTGTGTAAATATTTTTGCAAATACATCCTGCCTTCTCGATAAGGATGCTAACAATGAACCTATAAACCATCTTAATGGATCTTAATCCTCTCTACCTGACAGGAGTCCATTTTCCTTTTTAAATAACTGTCCTAACCTTCCTCTGAGAAATCACAATTCATCAATATCTAGTATGTAATTTTTGAAAAGTGTTACTTCCCAGTGATTAGAATATGACTTCTACTTGGTCAATAAGAAAACATTTCTCCAATGAGGTAATGATCAAGTCAGTTATCTAGTGGCAAATGAGATGTAAACACCACACTTTCATATGGAATGTTGAGAAGAGTCATTCT